AGTTAGTCTCAGAAACCCCCAGGGGTTTCTGCCCCATAGGATTGCTATGAGTCACAATAGACTCCCTGCATTGAGTTTGGTGGGGTTTGTGGTTTTATATATAAACTAATAGATAATATTTTAATCAGTTTAATAATTACATCTGTACTAATATTCTTTTAGCAGAATTTTCCTGCCACAGCAAAGGAAGCCAAGATCCAGACACGGCTAAAAAAATCAAATGTGGTCAAATCAAATCTAGATGGTTTGCAGAAAATGAATATGTGTCCTGAAGGGACTAAGCCTCCTGAAGCAGCTCCTTCCTCTGCAGAAGGGGCCCCTGCCTTTGAATCCGTTCTCCAGCAGGACATCAATGCGGTTGACAATACGGTAATACAGGTGACAAGCTCCACTAGTGAGGCTGTGCTGGCCTCCTGGTCAAGAATTGCAGGCAAAGCTGGGAAGGTGGAGGTGGAAGAATCACCACAAGAGACTTATGGTGAGTCCATTATTAAGAATTGGTTCTGGTCCAGACGAGTAAATGGGCTTGAACTCAGTCGCTTACAAACATTGTTGTAAAGGGATCAGCTTTGATGCATGGTGACCTTTTGAATAACAGCACAAGACATTAGTGGGTCCTGCACCACCTTCATGATGGGTTAAGTTAGCAAATGGTTACGTTCACTCTAGCAGCTGTTTCTGTGTATCTCACTGAAATGTTCTTCCTCTTTCATGTCCCTCTACTTCTTGAAACACACTATCCAATTGGTCCTATGTGTTGATAGGACCAAAAATAAGTGATAGTCAATATTCTTTGCCTACAGCACAGTTCAAACCCATATGAATCACAAAAGAATAGATCTGGGACAAGGCTCGAGAATTTGCATTTCAAGAAATATTGTATGTGCTGGTCACCCAGAGTCCACGCCTTTAAGCACTACTACTCTAAGTTAGTGATGCCATCAGAAGGGGTCAGGAATCTGTACAGCCACAATGCATTTCCCCCTTCTGTAAGGAATTGAACTTAAAAGTAATTGATGGGGTGTGGGCCCCAGATCTTCCAGCACTAATAGGTTGCTCAATGTGGTTCTCCATTCCCTCACTGTAAATAATTTAATAATACCTCATCACATATGTTGTTATTATGAGAATTATAGGAAATAAAATTAAGGAAGAAAAGAAACAGCTTGGAACAGTGTAGCACCTATTGAAGAGTAGACACCTGAACCTGTCTCCTGACCATCTTCTCAGTTGTCTTTCTACTGTTTGCCACTTGTAGCTCCAACTCCAGTCAGGTTTTTTTTTCTTTTTAAGTTTTGACAGGGTTTTTTTTTTTTCATACTTAGATAAGGAAGGGAATAGAGGTTAAGTTAGGATCCCAGTGTTCATGTATTGCAGGTGGGGAGTCAGAATTAAAGATGCCTGGCATGAGGCCAGCTGCAACATTAGCATCGGTCCTCGTGTGCTCATACTTGCCTGTCTTTCTTTCCCAGCTGTCAGGTGGTGTGTGGTACATGGGCGAAGTCTCCCTGCAAACAGAAGTGGCTGGGTTCGGTTGCAGTTTCATGCTGGACAAGCCTGGGTCCCTGAGGAACCAGGAAGAGTGAGTGCTCTCTTCTTGATACCTGCCAGCAGTTTTCCACCTCCACATATGGAAGACAACCTGCTGTGTCCCAAATGTGTCCAGAGGTAGGTCCCTGGTACTTTTCTATGCGTGAAAAGTGGGCAGTTGGTTTAAATACATATATATCTATTTTAAGTTAGGGGGCAAGATGGATGCATATTCATCTGGAATGGCCATGTATTTTTTTTTTATTAGGGGCTCATACGACTCTTATCACAATTCGTACATATATCAATTGTGTAAAGCACATTTGTACATTCATTGCCCTCATCATTCTCAAAACATTTGCTCTCCACTTAAGCCCCTGGCATCAGGTCCTCATTTTTTCCCCTCCCTCCCCACTCCCCCCTCCCTCATGAGCCCTTGATAATTTATAAATTATTATTTTGTCATATCTTGCCCTGTCCGACATCTCCCTTCACCTACTTTACTGTTGTCCGTCCCCCAGGGAGGAGGTCACATGTAGATCCTTGTAATCGGTTCCCTCTTTCCTACCCACTCTCCCTCTACCCTCCCAGTATTGCCACTCACACCTCTGGTCCGGAAGGGATCATCCTCCCTGGATTCCCTGTGTTTCCAGTTCCTATCTGTACCAGTGTACATCCGCTGGTCTAGCCAGACTTGCAAGGTACAATTCAGGAAAGTTGTATTTTTCATGGTTGCTACATCACACCCTGTCTGGATCATCTCCTCCCTGAGACCCCTCTGCAAGGGGATCTCCAGTGGCCTACAAATGGGCCTCCACTTTGGGTCTCCACTCCGCACACCCAACCTCATTCACTATGGTAAGATTTTTTTGTTCTGATGATGCCTTATACCTGATCCCTTCAACACTTCGTGACCTCGCAGGCTGGTGTGCTTCTTCCATGTGGGCTTGGTTGCTTCTGAGCTAGATTAGCTATGTATTTTAATCACAGATTGTCAGGAAGGTTCAAGAAGACCATTATTACCCATGCACATTTATTCTCAGGGATAAAGGACTTTCATCTCTCGGGGCTTAATGCTTCCACCTAGAGACATGGAATTCTGGTGGAAGAAAACATTGTGTATTTACTGTAGACCAAGTACATGCGCTGCACAGAACTGGTGACTATGTAAAAAGATTCTGGAGTAACCTCCAGTTCTACGGGGGTGGGGTGGGGGTGGGGGGTGACTGGCATGTAAACAGCTCTGGTCCCTTGTGGTTACTGGTGTTAAACTAGAATATGAAATAACCCTTGAGAAATTACAAAGACGTACTTAGCAGTGGTTTTTTGAGTTAGGTAGTGGTCAAGAAAACAACCAAACAAAACTGACTGATGGTCCCCAGGAACAAGGGAACAGCAAGTGACCCAACATGGATGGTGAGGAGGATGTGGGAGGCCTAACAGGGCTTGATCAAGGATAATGTAACCAAGAGGAATTACTGAAACACTCATGAAGGCTGAACATGATAGTGGGACTAAAGGAAAGTAAAAGGAAATACAGTAGAGGGAAGAACTAGGAGGCAAAGGGCATTTGTAGAGGACTAAATACAGGCATGTACATATGTAAATATACTTATATATGGCAATGGGGAAATAGATCTATGTACATATATTTATGGGTATAGTATTAAGGCAGCAGATGGACATTGGGCCTCTACTCAAGTACTTCCTCAATGCAAGAACACTTTGTTCTATTAACCTGGCATTCCATGATGCTCACCTTCCCGACACGATTGCTGAAGACAAAGGTGGGTGCATAAGCAAATGTGGTGAAAAAATCTGATGGTGCCCGATTGTCAAAAGATATAGCGAATGGGCTCTTAAAAGTTTGAAGATAGAGGAGCGGCCATCTAGCTGAGAAGCAACAAAGCCTACATGGAAGAAGCACACCAACCTGTGCAATCATGAGGTGTCGAAGGGATCACGTATCAGGCATCAAAGAACAAAAAGTCATATCATTGTGAATGTGGGGGAGTGCGTGCGAAGTGGAGACCCAAAACCCATCTGTAGACAGCTGGACATCCCCTTACAGAAAGGTCGTTGGGAGGAGACGAGCCAGTCAGGTTGCAGTATAGCAACGATGAAACATACAACTTTCCTCTAGCTCTTTAATGCTTCCTCCCCCTCACTACCATGACTCCAATTCTACCTTACACATCTGGTAGATAAGAGCTGGAAACACAGGGAATCCAGGGCAGATAAACCTCTCAGGACCAATATTGAGTAGCCATACTAGGAGGGTAAGGGCAAGGTGGGGTGCAAAGGGGGAACTGATCACAATGATCTACATGTAACCTCCTCCCTAAGGGACAGACAACAGAAAAGTGGTGAAGGGAGACGTCGAACAGTGTTAAGACATGAAAAAATAATAATAATTTGTAAATTATCAAGGATTAGGGAGGTGGGGTGCGGAGAAAAATTAAGGAGCTGGTACCAAGGGCTCAAATAGAAAACACATGTCTTGAAAATGATGATGACAATAAATGTACAAATGTTCTTGACACAATGAACCGATGGATGGATGGATTGTGATGAGTTGTATAAGCCCCCAATAAAATGATTTCAAAAACAGAAGCTGTCCTATGGTGACAGCATACAGGGTTTCCAAGTCCATAAATCTTTATAGGAGCAGAAAACCTTTTTCTCCCAGGGAGCAGCTAGTGAGCTCGAACTGCCAACCTTATGGTTAGTAGTCTATACACTTAACTGATATGATTGAACTGTAGGATATGCTAATTACATATTTTTAATTAAGCATACAAAACCAAACCTGCTGCCATCTGCTCATTTTCAATTTATAGCCAGCCAAAGGGCTGTTGCCCCTTTGGGTCCTCAAGGCTCTAAATCTTTAAAGGTGTAGAAACTCACTTCTTCAGAGCAGCTGGTGGGTTTAAACCCGGCTCTGGTTAACAGTCCAACAGATAATCATCCACTATTGCCACCAAACCAAACCCAGTACCACCGAGTAGGTTCCACGTCTCATCTTTCCAGGAACAGAACCTCATCGTTCTGGCCCTAGAACCTGGTGGGTTTGAGCCACTGCTCTTGAGATTAGCAATCCAATCCGGGGCTCCTTAAATCAAGGGAGCGCTGACTAAATCATTCATTTCAATCCAGGTAACAGCCCCAGGTGGAGAACACACTTGGGAGAAAGTAGAACTCAGAAGTAGTTCAGAATATGATTTTTTTTGGTGGAAAATGAAGCCATGGTTCTCATTTGTAAAACGGGCATAACATAACCCATCTGAAACTATTGAGAAAATGCAGTGGTTAATTTATTTAAAAGTTCTCAGCACTATCTCGCTTCTACCTCGTAAGTACTCAATAACTTTTTGGTTATTATTCCAAGCATTGGGTTTATTTTGAAATAGAATTACTGATGCAAAACACAGGTACTTTTTACATGAGTTGAGGATTATGGGATTTATTTGGAATCATTAGTTATGTCAAATGGAGTAAACTTTGAATATTGGAAGTTTGGACTATTAAGCATTGGTTAATGGAGGATCCCTGGTGGCAGAGTAGGTCTCCAGTTGGACTGCTAACTGCTGGGTCAGTGGTTCAAATCCACCAGCTGCTCTATGGAAGCACGATGAGACTTTCTTTATACTCGAATCAGCAGTTTCGCTCTTGGACATCACAGGGGCTATTTTACCCTGTCCTATGGAATTGCCATGAGTCCTAATGGAATCAGTGGCAGGGAGTTTGGTTTGGGTTTTGAGGTTAATAGTAATTCTTCTGAAAAGTTTTTAATGGGTTAGACATATGTGATCGACAAAGAATCATTGTATTCATCAAATAACACCTTTTTAAAATAATGCCTTTTAATTGCAATTATGGACAGAATTGAAGGAAGGGTACAAAAAACTCTTATCTTAAATTCGAAGTCCAATTGAAATCCACATAGTAAATGGGTTGACTGAACAGCCCTGGAGGGTAGGAGGGCTCTGATAAAACTTGCTGTTCTAAACTATACTAGCTTAATTGATTACTGTTTTTTAAAAAAAGGACAAGCCATTTGGTAAAACTGGCCATGGGTTGGGGTTGAGGGGGAAGGTATTAGCTTTAAAAGAACAGCAGCTTCGGGACCCAATGAGCAGCCCAGGTCGCAGCTCCGTTTCGCCTCCCCTTCACCTCAGTGACTTTGCTAATGCTTGCTAAGGTTTCAGGCCACACTTTCCACAACTAGAATATGTTGAGGAGAAGCAGGTTTGACTGGGAAATGTGTATTGACATGTAACTCGCGTGCCCTACAATTTGGTGGTTCAAATATATTAAAAATAGTTGGGTGCTCTCAAATATAGTTTTAACATTAAGAAATTGTATAGGTGCTTTTTGGTTATGGAGAATTCAGGACCCCAAAGCCTCTTTAAAAAGCGAAAGGGGGGCAGGGAGGGGGAGAGAGACATGCACATATGCGCATATGCAAAGTTTTTTGCTAGGAGTCAGAAGCCAGGCCACCTGTGTGAAGAAGCCCATTGAAGGCTATTAAAGAAGGAAATGTATTGAGGTGGAAGCGCAGAGGAAAGGTGTGTGTGGAAGCTTAAATTCGGAGCACCTGGTTTGCAGAAAAGACTGGATGAAAGCAAAATCCCCAAATCCATTTGCTGACTCCACACTGTCTCCACTGAATTCCTTTTGACCATAGACTAGAGATTGTCTTGCCTTGGGGCAGAGAGCTGTAGAAAGTGAATTACTTCCACTCCCTCTCCAAACCAGCCCAGGGAGAGGCAATGTTCCTTAGGGGCTTGCCTGGGCGTGTCCTTGAAGGCTATCACAGGCCTGGGGGGTCAGATAGCTGGAGTCTTGCCCTATCAGTCAGGCTCCAATCATGCTCCAGTTCCTGCTTCTATAATCCCCTGAAACTGATGTGTTGCTCTACCACCAATGATGATTGTGTGACAGTCTCCTTCGCCCTCCCAGGCCCTTTATAAATCCCTATATCGCGGCAAATATTTGGATGCCATTGTGACCTCATGCTAATGTTTTCCCTTATCCAGGTGATGTGTCTTTGTCCTGTTCAAGACTTTCCAGTTCTCCTTAAATTATTTGGGACTTAGAGTCTCTTTTGTACCTTAAAGTATGTGGTGGACACAAGATTAACTAGAAATGTCTTGGGGGAGACGGTATTTGTTTTTGGTAATGGCATAAAATGTTTAGCACCTTCTGTGAGTACTAGAATAAAAACAAAGCTTTGATGATCATTTACACGTTTATATGAATAATATTCCCTCGGAACTGTAGGATTTGGCCTGAGGTCTGGAACAACACTATATTGGGCAAGCTGGCAAAGGAGACAGAGAATGAACAATTAAGGAATTAAACCTGAAATGTAAAGTCATTGGGGGAGAATTTGGACTGGAAATTTGATTTCAGTACCAAATAAAGCTCAAGAAAATACGAATGAATAAAGCAAAGAAGGCTTCTAAAAATCTATGGAAATACTTGATGATCTTTTCATTCCCTTTTCTCACAACATTTGGAAGTCCTTGTATACTTGCTTAGGTGATGGATTCAAATTACTGAAGGATGCAGAAAATCTGATGTTGATTTAATAAGGCACCCCAGCGCCATAGTGGGGTGCACGTTGGATTTCTAACCTCAAGGTCAATCATTCAAACCCACCAGCTGCTCTGATGGCAAGATGAGGTTGGCCGCTCCTCCTTACGCGGTCCTTCTCTGTGTCTGAGAAGCTAAAGAACACCTCTACTCTGAACTGTGGGTGCACGGTGGGTTGGAATTGACTCAGTGGCAGTGGATGCAGGCTTGGGTTAGTATGGCGAAGGAAGTGAGAGGCTGCAGTCAGTGGGTGTTTTGTCAAAGCTCAACGGGAAGATTAGGTGGAACAGTAGGATAGGTAGAGTCCAGATGTCCAGGCTCTCACTCCCATCGGCCATGCTTCAGCTGCCCTGGAATCAAAACTCTGTACTGGTGTGGAGTAGTTAGGGGCCCACTTGAGTGAGAGAACACCCGAGGTTTAGGGAAACTTGAACAGAATAGAGGCCTCAGGTAGGTAGGACCTCAGCCTAGATTTCACCTTCTTTAGTTCATGGAGCAGCGGTTCTCAACCTTCCTCATGCTGCGGCCCTTTAATATAGTTCCTCATGTTGTGGTGGCCCCCCGAAACCTTAAAATTATTTTCGTTGCTACTTCATAACTGTAATTTTGCTACTGTTATGAATCAGGTGACCCCTGTGAAAGAGTCATTCAACCCCCAAAGGGGTCGCAACCCGCAGGTTGAAAACCACTGTCAGAGGAACCCTGATGGTATCTGAAAGGTTGGTAGTTCAAAACCACCACGCCACTCTGAGAAAGACGGGGCTTTTTACTCCCATAAACAGTCACAATCTCAGAAAGCCATGGGGGTGGTGGGTCCTTATGAATGCATTGACTCCAGGGCAGTGAGTTAGCTTATGGAGAGGGACAATCCTTAGCCTGTGGTACCAGGCCATCTCCCACTAGAGGCAATGTATATGTGCACTGCTTTGTTGACACCATTGGGCTGCCTGCTTTCAGTGCAGTTGTCCAGAGCATCTTTGTCAGCTCCATAGAACTGACATCGCTTTGAAAAGCGTTTTTCATAGCACCTGGAAAAGGTCTGCTCTGGAACCTCCTGCCCATTCCCGGCTCCAGAGCAGGAGCATGTTTATGGAAGCATGATGCTGCTCCATTCTGCGCTGCAAGCTTCCCGCCATCTCCATTGCTGAGGACCATGTTCTTGGCATATAGTCATTGTTTGACGGGTGAGTTGGAAGGCTACAGCGTGATCTCTCCAGGCGAAGAGCTCTTTTTAAAATGTATTTATTTTTGTTGTTTGATGTTTTTTTCCTTGGTTCTAACTTTAAAAAATAAATAAACCGACCCTCTCATTTGCTTTATAGGAACCGGGTGTTGAAGGAAAGTCTCCAAAGTGAGTAGATGACCTGGGAAAAGGATGCTTCCAAGATTGCAATTAACAATTGACATCATATCCCTTTGGACTTCCATCCACGCCACTCCCCCACGCCCCACCCGTGTTCCTGCTCACGGTGGGCACAGACTGCCGGGGGTAGGTGTCACCCTTTGCAATCTGGACAGTGAAGCCAACCCCAGTTTTGCTTGCTGCTTCCTGAGTTGAGATACAGAAGACATTGATGTTTAAAATTGTTACAACTTTACAAATTACCCTATGTCCCAGCTAATAAAAACATAAATAGTTCAAAGGCCACCAATTCCAACATTTCCTTGCCCTTCTGAAGTATCAATGGCTTAAGCTGAGCTTCAGTGAAAGTGCTTCCGAAGAGCGTTGGTTGTGCCCGAGTTACTGAAGACAAAATCACTGTTTGCTTCTGTGCTGAATTTTCCTTGCCTGAACACTGATTTTAGGAGCCGTTCCTTTCTAACTGTAAGTTTAATGACTTCAAGTTGAATAAGACAAAAATACCTAATATTCTTAATATAGAAAACATTTTCCCAAAATATCTGTAATTTGGCTCTGGTGTCACCATTGTTATCCCTGGTAGCCATTACGCGGCTTTCTGCTCTTGAAAACGTTTAAGCACAATGTACTGAAGTTATAGTTGCTCTTGTGTTCTTCGTCCTTTGTTTCTTGGGGACCAAATATGTGAATTAGCAGATATTCTTTTTTTTTTTAGCAGATATTCTTGTAAGGATTAAAACAACAACAAAAAATGTCTTTCTTTCTTGAAATTCTTCATTTTTAATCTATTAAGCACTGATAGATTTAGTTGGCCCATGAGTCCACACTTGTCCTGTGTTGTAAATGATAGTTTCCCACATTGTTTTACTTGCCAATAATCATCATAATCATGTATTGTAATGGAAGGAGTGATGAAGTTGGAGCACTTGTGCACATCATGTTATAGACTAATTAGGATGAGAATCCTTGATGTTAAGTCTGCAGAGAAAAGCTTTCGGAGGAAAGGTTATTCCCACAGGTTTAGCTTTTCTCCCACAAATGGCGCACCAACAGGCAACGGAAAAACTATGTGGCCGCCCAGCAAGGGTACCGGCCACCATTTAGCTATTTAAACTGATAAGGAGAACATGTCACCAAGCTTGTTTTCTATTAGATTATTTCTCATTTGTGGTAAGAGCAAATATGTCATTAAAAAAAATTTTTTTAGCTGCAAATTTCAATCATTAAAATACTTAATGCTTACTATCTGTCAGATACTATTTAAGAGGGAGACTTAACTAATTAATTTATTTAAGCTCATCAGTGGTGTCAGAATTAGTATTAGCCCATTTTGTATAGGAAACTGGGAACCTGAATTTGGACCTCAGAAAGCTAGCTCCTGGAACTGTGCGTTCTCTCCCATTTTCTCTTCACTGGTGGTTCCTGAGTTTTAGTTTCTTAGAAAGACCTGAATACAAAGGTGTGTGTGTGTGTGTGTTTCCCCCCAATGTTCCCCATTATTACACCACTATTCTGTGACTTTTTTTCTTTTACATGCTGAAACAATCTGGTTTTTGTGTTTGGTGTAGGGGATATGGATCCACTTATATCTTTAACTGGTAACACAAAACCAGAAAATCCACTGTCATCTCATCAATTCTGGCTCATTAATAACCAAAACTATAGCTTTACAAGAGCAGAGCCTCTTTTTTCCCCACTGAACTTTGAACTACTGACTCGGGTTGGCAGCCCAATGCCTAATCCGCTTCCACCAGGGTTCTTTAGCGTGTAACCTCGTGATCTCAAATTACTGAGTTTTCTTCCTCATTCATTTTAAATTCTACCTTTATCAAACACCAGGAGCCCCAGTGTGTTCTGTGGGTTAAGTATTAGATTGCTAACTTCAAGGTCTGTGGTTCAAACCACCAGAGAAAGATAAGGGGAGAAACAATAGGGTTGCCAGCTCCGGTAGAGTGAAAACACACTCCCATCCAGCCAGTGCTGCCTCAGTGACCCCCATAGGACTCCTAGATTGTTCACATCAGTAGAAAGCCCAGTCTCTGTGGCAGAGCAGCTTGTGGTTTCAAACTACCAACCATGTGGATCTCAGCCCAAGGCTTAACCACTGCACCACCAGGTCTCCACTACAAATACCAAACACAAATACTAAATATTTTCAACATGTAAAAGAAATTGGTGTAAAGGAAACACTGGAGGAAAATAAAGAGTTCGTCTCAGAAACCATATTAAGGAGTTCTGCTCTGTCCTTTGAGGTCAGTACAGTTAAAATACACTCAGTGGTAGTGCATTTGGCATGAGTAGAAATCAAAATTCCAGACAGCTAGCCTCCAGCTTCCCCACACCCATAGCTTCTGCTCAGGGCACAATGGGATCTGCCCCTTTTTATTACTCATAGCATTCCTACACCTCTTGTCTGTTTTTGAGTCTCTGCCAAGTGATGGTGACTGAATCTTGCTATAGTGAGCTCTGAATTAATAGCCTGTATTCTCCTTTGGGTGATCTGTCTATTTTTACTATATACTTCTATAAAGATACAGATATCTATAAAATATAGAGAAATTAGCTTAGTTTTAAACATGAGAAATTGACAGAATCATCCTGAAAATCAAATGAAAATGTTCCAGCTTCTGAGACCGAAAATGTCAAATCTCTAAATTTACATATATACAAATTTGATGTTCCAAAGTTTTCTTTCTTTTTGTTGTCCCAAAGTTCTTAAGTAAAAATACACCTAAAGCCAACCCTACTACCGTGGATTAAATTCCAACTTGTAAGAGCCCTCTGAAAATATTTAAAAGTTGTGAGGGGTGATAATTCAATAATATATTAAAATATCATAAATGGATATTAAGAGAATGTCTCAGGAATATTCATAAAAAACAGTTCTGAGTTGAGAGTTCAGATATCCACATAGATCCTAGTATATAAGATGTACTTTGGATATGATAAAGTAGCATACCAATTCAGAGTGGGGAAAAATAGATTATTTAAAATGTGTTATTGCAACTGAGGAACTGTCTTGGGGTTTGAAGAAAATTTCAATTATGGGAGCAAAAAATGCAAGTCAGACTTAAATACATAGAGTGCAACTGGGAGAGTAACCAAATTAAACCGCATCCACATTTGAGAGTATGCCTGTCTGTGTGTGTGTGCCTGTGCCATTGAAGTGATTCCCACTCGTGGTAAATGTATGACAGGGTAGAACTGCCCCATATGGTCTCCTTGGTTGTCCATGGCAATGGGCTTGTTTTTAAAATTTTTTTTTTCTTTTTTTAATCATTTTATTAGGGGCTCATACAACTCTTATCACACTCCATACAAACATCAGTTGTGTAAAGCACATTTGTACATTCATTGCCCTCATCATTCTCAAAATATTTGCTCTCCACCTAAGCCCCTGGTATCAGCTCATTTTTTTCCCCTCCCTCCAAAATGTTTTTATTTCATGGGATCAGATCATCAAGTCTTTTCAAACTGGAGCTGTTTTGGGGGTGAAACGGCAACTTGGCTGTTAGCAGCTTAGTCTTTACTCATTGTCGCACCATATACATATACAGGCCCCTCAAAAAACTCAATTCCATCGATCAGTTCTGACTCATAGTGACTCCATTAGACAGAGTAGAATTGCCTTTATGGGTTTCTGACACTAGGTAAACCTATACAGCTAGCCTCACCTTTCTCCCATAAAGCAGCTGGTGGTTTTGAACTGCTGACCTTTAGATTAGCAGCCCAGAGACTCATTCAGATGCATTTCTGTTGTTTTGAACTACCTGAGTGTGGTGGTTTGCTACAACAACCTTAGAAAAATGATTACTATAGAGAAAGGAAATACAAATAGCCCTGAACATTATAAAAATCCTCCAACTTCAATCATAATCAAGAAATTAAACTCTGACTAAAATAAAAACTAGCATAACCATCTATGAAGAATTTAAAATAAAACATCTATATTCTTTTCCCTCAGAGGTGAAGCCTAATTTTTAACTCCTTAAGTGTTTCCTATACACATTATTTCCCCCCCAAAATCACACAGTAAAGAAAGAAAGAGGTTAAGAGTAACTGGGAGGCGAAGACAAACACACTCAAACCACCAAGGTCAGTACCAAGAGTAAAAGTCGTGTTGATAGTATGTACCCTTGATGTGATGAGAACTGTACTCGGTCATCTTCCTGCAAAGAACCATAACCCCAGTGTCATCATGAAGAAAACAGCAAATTTTAATAGATGATTACAAAATACCTGACCTGACTTCCCAACTGCCAAGGTCATCAAAAGCAGGGAGAGCCTGGGACACTTACATCCGAGAGAAGGCTAAGCAGGCGTGCCTACCAAATGCAGCGAAGCAGCTTAGACAGGATCCAGTAACAACAAAAGGACTTTAGGTAAAATCTAAGAACATCTGAATATTTAAAAAATTAAAAGAGCATATGAATATAAAGTTTGGATTTAATCCCCCTTACTGTCCTCACATTTTAAATTTATTTTAAATTTTGTTTTTTTGACATGTAATTCACATTCCATACAGTTCAATGACTGAAAGCTATTAAAACGTGTACTCATCACAATTTTTGAATTTTTTCTTTTTCATAACAATCACTACAATTCGCTAAGTGTTTACAATTGAGAAGCCTTGAGACTAAGTTTTGAGCCAGATCAGTCCCATGACATTGTACTCTTATTACCTTCATTTTATAAATGAAGGCATTTCAGCTTGGAAGATTAAATATATTGTTCTCAATGGTGGTTTTTAAAATTTTTAATGTGTTTTTTTGTTTTTGTTTTTTTAATTGTTTAATTGGCATATACTTCACATATCACACAACTTAATCTTTCAATCATAAGAGTTATGTGATCATGACCACAATGTTTCAGAACATTGTCTTGTGATTGAGCAACTGAACTGTTCAATTGTATGATATGTGAATTATACGCCAATAAAATTGTTGGAAAACAACAATAATGGCACATAATTGGAAAACTTCAATCCGAAAGAAAGAAAATAATAAAATAAGAACAAATTTAAACTGGGTGAAAAGGGAGAACAAATGATTCCTCATCAGTGGTCAAAGGGGATGCACCAAGGCTTGATCCACGTGGGGACTTTGCAAATGAATTTGGGCTTTCACTGTCACCCATCGTCTTCTGCAAACTGGGAGTGCAAAACTTAAGCTCTAGTACTCTAATATTGCAAGGTTCCTGGGTGGTGCGAACTGCTTGCATGACCACTTTTACAAAGGTTGGAATTGGAACCACTCCGCAATGCCCTCGAGGAAGCAAGGCCTGTCAGATTCCGACTCAGAGCTGCCGTATAGGACTGAAGAGAACTGTGGTTCCCCCACCCCACCCCGCCCCGTGGGTTTTGGAAGTTGTGGCTCAGAAATGCTGGCCTTTCAGCTAGCAGCCCAATGGTAACCCACCATGCGACAGGACTCCTTTTTCTATGATTTTACAGCCCCCCCAAACCCTATCATTTATAGGACCATGACGAGATGGAATAAGACTAGACAGAAATGGTATTTTGTTTCAATATAATGTGACTCATCTCTCTGCCATCGAGTCAATGGCAACTAGTGACCATATGGGACAGGGTAGAACTGCCCAGGAGTTTCTAAGACCATAACTGTTTTGAGCAGAAAGCCCCGTCTTTCTCCCCCAGAGGCTGGAGATTTGGAACTGTGGGCCTTGAAGAATCCGCCCGGCCTAACCACTGCCACCAGCGCTTTTGGAAAGTCGGTATGATGCGCTTGGAGATGGGGCTTTGTGACACCTTGGTTAAGGGCTCACCTGCCAACAGAAAGGTAGGGTCCAAGTCTATCGGCTGCTCTGAGGGAGAAAGATGAAATGGCCCACTGCTAATTTAGTTTCAGAAACTCAGACTGCTATGAATCAAAATCAGCTCGATGGCACCACAATTCGTTTTTGTTTGGCTGGTATTCAAGAAACTCATCAACTCTCCTGTGTCTTAATATTTTCTGAGTAAAGTTCAAGGCCAAAAGATAATATAGGGGAGGCGGGGAGAACCAAGCCTGCTTCTATGAACATCTGGAGTCCTTCCCCAAAACTCAGTACCCCAGAGTTGTCAATTCGTAGCAACCCTGTAGGACAGGATAGAACTGCCCCTGTGGGTAGACGGTTACTCTTTACAGGAGTAGAAAGCCATGTTTTTTCCTCTTGAGTGGCTGGCAGTTTTGAACTGCTGCTGGACATGTAACAGTACACCACCAATGCTCAGGTTCTTAGGTACTACATGGTCATTGAGGTGATTCTTGACTCCTAGCTCATACGTGGACTAGTACAATGTCCACACTGATGTCTGCAGTCAGCAGGCCACTTCATCTGTCAAGAATGTTCATATTACCCATACACCCAGTTTTTGACTTTGGGAATCAGAAGTAGTCAGTTTTAAGCATTGTAACATTGTATGGCTTTCTGTTACAAAATTAAAGGATAAAGTATTTATGAACATGCTAAAACTTTAGTTGACAGGATTCTACCTATATAGTGGCATTTAGATGTTTTCACATTTTTGACATCACTAATTTGATCTCAAGCCTAAAAACAAAACCACACCCCACAGCATAACACTATGTTCTACCAAGTAGTTGGGTAAAATCTCAAGTCTTATTGCGGGCAGTCTTGCGCATTGTGCATCTTTGTCAGTTAAAATCATCTCTATGCAGAGCATTTGAACAATTAAAAACGTATACTCTCTTTTACTCAATAATTCTTAAGAGGGATTTTATAGTACGCTTAATACTTTTGAAGGTAACAATGAGGTTTCACTCTTCCAGTGCATAATTTTTTTAATACTGTGAACCTATTTTAAAGGAGTAGAAAACTATAGTCCGAAAAAAAAAAGAGAACTGTGGTCTGTATAGGTAAATAGAAAATACTTTAATCTCAATTGGGGTTAATGGGAAAGTCTCTTCTTGATCCCAACCCACGGAACAGCAACAAAAGAGTCACTTCTTGCCAGACCTCAGGCCTCAGGGCAGCCATTCCTGCTTGTAGTCAGAGTCTCAGACAGCACTATGGACAGGTCAATCAAAGTACAGCAGTCACTGAGATCCAGCTAAGGCATGAGCACTCCATCCTTGGTCACTTACTAACATGTTGCCCATCCAAAGGGAATGTGATTTGGGGTTCATATCCACCTACTTCGTCTTCGACAACGCGGTCAATTTTTTCATTAGTACCTCATTCCTAGAAAACAAGTTAGAAAAGACTTTTGAAAATTCCTGGCACAAGGGAGACATCTGGGTATGGCAGAGAAGAAATTGTCCTCAGTCAACAACTGTAGCTCCCTTGTTTACTCACCTGTTTACCTCTCTAGAACACTCCATGGTCATGGGAGTTGTCTTAAGGTTTGTGTGGTCATTGAAATTAATTATAGAGAGATCCCCTTGCAGAGGGGTCTCGGGGAGGAGATGAGCCAGTCAGGGTGCGATGTAACAATGATGAGAAATACAATCTTCCTCTAGTTCCTAAATGTTTCCTCCCCGCTCCCACTACCATGACTCGAATTCTATCTTGCAAGTCTGGCTAGACCAGAGGAGGTACACTGGTACAGATAGGAACTGAAAATACAGGGAATCCAGGACGGATGAGCCCTATAGGACCAGTGGTGTGAGTGGCAAAACAGGGAGGGTAAAGGGAGAATGGGTAGGAAAGAGGGAACCGATTACATGGAACTGTGTGTGACCTCCTCCCTGGGGGACAGACAACCGAAAAGTGGATGAAGGGAGACGTCGGACAGGGCAAGATATGACAAAATACCCATTTATAAACTATCAAGGGCTCATGCGGGAGGGGGGAGCGGGGAGAGAGGGGAAAAATGAGGACCTAATGTCGGGGGTTTAAATGGAGAGAAAATGTTTTGAGAAACGATGTACAAATGCGCTTTACACAATTGATGTGTGTATGGATTGGGATAACAGTTGTATGAGCCCCTAATAAAATGTTAAAAAAAAAAAATGAATTACAGAAAGTGCTATGGGGACAGAGAGGAATAGTCCTGAGAAGTAGATACCCGCCCCCATCTAGACATTTACTTTTCTATGGGCCGTGTGCTTAGAAAGACATTTCAGAGTTACCTCTTAACACACTCAGGACACAACATATTGTCTTCTACGTCCAGGGGTGGGAAAACATACGCCGGTAAGAGGAAGAGCGAGATCATCCTCCTGGGCGTGCTCGGCACCCAGGTTTGACCGGCGTGGAACTGCAGGCGGACCCAGCCCTCTGTCTCTGCAGGGAGGGTTTTGCCGTGGACCACACACCATCTGCTGCCTGGAGGAGACAGAAGTAAAGTATAATCAGCAAGATCCAGGAATAGTGGCCCTAACCCAGCCTCCTCAGAGAAAGTCACTGTTAGTTTGCTCCCAATATTCAGGTGACAAACAAACTGAATGAGAAGCATGACAATGTAGGCCAAAAGCTGGTACAACCCAACCTCACAAACTCCATAGCATGAAGCAAATGTTTTGAGAATGATGAGGGTAACAAATGTACAAATATGCTTTATACAATCGATGTATGGATGGATTGTGATAAGAGTTGTATGAGCCCACAATAAAATGATTCGAAACAAAACAAAAACACAAGAACTACAATTTGCTTTTAAAAATACAGGGGAAAAGAATTCCATAGCATGAGAGAAAAAAGCAGTTAACCTTTCAGAATGCTTGCTTTGTGGCCTGATTGTTCCTACACTTATTAAAGTGTTTGTTCTTTAGAGAAACTATTGATATTTACCTTTGACCTTGATTATTTACAAATAAAAGAAAATAAAGCGTAATGCGTTATATAAAATGACCTTTCACAGAAATCAAGGCGTGAATGCAAGCATACTTATTCACATATATTCCCAGTTTGGGGGTTTGTTTGTTTTTTTGGTGTGGCCATTATTAGTTTAAAAAACATTAGTTTTAAAAAGCATATATGGCTTATGCATGCTTTCCAGATAGGATCTCAAAATAGAGATTTTTTTAAAATGTAAGACATCATCTAAAAAAAAAAGGACATTATCTATTTAGGGAACTGGGATATTAGCAAGATAGCTGGCTGGTGTAGAATTAAGAGAATAGAACAGTATGGGTTTATAAAAACCCGCAAGTAACAAACGGGTGGCGTGAAGCATGGCTCTTCTCCCCGTGTCTCTTACGTCCCAACAAACGATCAGGTGGGACCATGCAAATAGAGTGCATATAACACTGAGAGGTCGGTATTCGTTTCCAGCTCCTCAGCACAAGGATAAAGTCGGAGCAGAGGACAAAGTCCCAGGACGCTCAGAAGTGCAGCACACTTCAAGTGTCTGTCTAAAGAGGCAAAGATGGAGAAGACCAGAGGCCGAGGCAAGGAAACCGTGAGGACAAAGGAAGTGCCCTGAGACTGTTAAGACTCGGAGGTAGATGAGGGGCTGATACCAAGGGCTCAAGTGGAGAGCAAATGTTTTGAGAATGATGATGGCAACAAAAGTGCAAATGTGCTCGACACAATGGATGGATGGATGGGTGGAGATAAGCATTGTATGAGCCCCAGTAAAATGATTTTTTTTAAAAGAAAATTCTGAGGGAGAGCAGTAGGCTGACTTCCTGGCCCATGGAGGCAGAAGACAAGCAATCACCTGACTGAGAGGAAGTTGGCTCCTGGCTAAGGAGGTTTGACTGTAGACTGATGACCCTATCTTCACTATTTACAAATCCTGGCTGTGGCAACATTCTAATGCCCCTTCCTGGCCTCCTTGAGTATTATCTGGGAGCTCTGTGTGGCTATCGCCATGAGTGGTGGGGCACAGCCGGCAAGAAAGGAGACTACAGAGCGAAGAGCGGCTTGTTATGAGACTAGGTTAAGGGTGAAGGGTGGAGGCGTGTCTGACCTGTCTTATGGAAATAGGGGAGCCAATATCAAGATATGGCCCCTGCAAACTTTTTGCAGCTGTGTTCCAGGGAATGCCGAGTTTCTGGAATTGAAAGTTAATGGCATTTTCCCAGTAACTCTCTGAGGTTTCCTTTTATGTATTGTTCTAGCTCCCAACATAAATAGACTTTGAGCAATGACAGAGATTACTTGTGTTCCTTACAACATGCACAATACATCCAGCAACTAGGTGTTTCCTAGGCATCAGATACTTACTGGTTATTGAATGAAAAGAATATAAAGGATGCATAAGGGTGGACTGTGACCAAATCATGTGGCCTTTTAATGAATAGAATGATATCATCTGAAGATCCAGTACCCTGGGCTGGATAACGCCTTTGCACAAATTACTGTGTTAACAAAGACACCTTCCTAACACAAGGTAGGTGGATTTCTTTCAGTCCCTGGTCTTATTTGTGGCTGGGTGCCTTGCGTGATGGACAAGAAGCTGTACAACACAGTCCAGCCCTGGGTCAAAGGGATTTACAAGACTTCTGGAGGTGAGAGGAGAGGCAGATGGATTTTGTGCTGGGCTGCTAGGATGTGCTGGAGACGAAAACAGAAATAGCATGAATCTTGAGCAAAAGTGATGGAGAAAGAGATCGGACTAAAAGTACTCTGAAGATTTCCTAGAGGGCAGGGAAGTCCTTTCATGATTGTCTGCTCACAATATGGCAAATCCTATTTCATCCTTCTCTCTATACGTAACAGCACGGTTTATATCATGACGCCAAGGTCCAGGAGCTAAGTAACTTGCCAATGCCATTGGAAGCAGAAGCATCGCAACCAAAGGTCTTCTATTCTAACACCTCCTATCCTACAGTGTTGTCCTGGTGGTGTAGTTGTTAAGCTCTTCTTGGCTGCTAGCCAGGAAGTCTGTGGTTTGGACCCACCGCCCAGTCCACAAAAGATATAGCAGCCTTGGAAACCCTACGGGGCAGTTAAACTTTGTCCTAAAAGTCTAAATGCTAGAGTCTGACTCGACACAACCACAATGGAATGTCAAGAAAAGGTGAAATGGGATGACCTCAGGGTGTGGTTGATACTCCAATTGGATTCTTTCTCCCTTGGAAAAAATGCTAACTGATAAGTACAGTCAGTAACTCAGTCACCTGGCTAACAGATCTAACCAGTTAAACGCTTGTTATATAGCTATCGCGCATATGAGGTCCAATCTCCAATCTAGATCCATAAACATTAAATAACCCTCTCTCTTCGCCATGTCTTTATAGAACTATTAACCGTTAACCTTGTTCCTCTTGGAGGATGGTCTTACCAAAGCCCGGGGCCAAAAAAGCCTCAATTGCAGAGTGAAGGTGACGTGAGTTCACAGCCTTGGGTTGAAGCGCTTTTGAGGAAATCCTTGCCCAGGATGCCAGCGTGGCCTCCGGAGCAGGAGAGTCCACTTCAACAACGTTGGCGACTTGTGTCTCTGGAAGGCCTATCTGTTTGTCCTCAAGTGTTGGTTGCTTGATCTTGCGTTTCCTCGATATTGACTGTATCTTGGCTGCCCGTGGTGAGTCGGGAACGTCCTGAGAATGACATTCCTGGTGAGTATTCACCGACTACGAGCTACTGCTAGAAGCAGCCTGTGTGGAGGGCAGTGTGAAGTCAGTTGTGCACACTTTGGTCAAGATGTAATGCTATCATTTGATCTCCCTTTAGGCCCACTTTAAAGTTATGTCCGTTTTAAGGAAAAAGAGTAAAGGGGAAATACATGTGGATTCAGCCTCAGAGGAATTCCCTCTGACCACGGGCCAGGGATGTGAATAGGCTCGCTAACATGCACAATGCATGAGAAAGTGGGAAATTGGGAGCTAAAACTGAGGCGTAAGATTGAAGGAAATATTCTCAAACTGCTTACGGTGATTATACAACTCTTGATGTGATCAAACTATTAATTTTATGCTATATGGATTCTATGCTAATAAAACTGTTGAAGGGGGAAAAAAAACACCCGCGATTTCATTTTCAGTCGTCCAACTCCGGGAAACCCTATCGGGCCAAGTAGACCTGCTGGAGGCTAGTTGCTCCGGTAGAAAGTTAAAAAGCTCAGAAACTGAAAGGAGCACCTCTAGTGTCCTATTGGGCCATGGTTGAGCTGGAAGAGATGGTGGCAGTGACGCTTGTCTGTGGCCTCCCTGGGCCCTCTAATCCCCAGGCCCCAAGGACCCACAGTGATCATAAATCAGGGGATTCTGTTCCCCAGGCAACCTTCAACGATGTTCAGAGAAATACATGGCTGTCCAAATGGGAGCTGGGTGAGGTACGAATGGCATTGTGTGGGTTGATGTCAGGGCTACTGCTAAACACTCCACAACTGCACAGGACAAACACCACAAAGAGACAAGGTCCCATCTCACAAGACAAAACTGCCACAGTTGGCCAAGTAAGTATGCCCCAGACCTGGAGAAGGTGCAAGAAGAGAAGTACTTTGCACTCGCCTGTTTTTGGTGAGGGTAAACGAACTTCTGGAGCCGTAGATAAACTTCCACTTTCTGAGGAAATAAAGCGGAACATTACAGTTAAACAGTTTCCCATACATGTCGGAGCGGCGGATTCTCACCAGAGTACTCACCTGCCCATCGGTGCTCAACTTGGCTTGCTGGCACCATTTCCGCAAAGTGTCCCTATGTACCTCAGTAACCGGAGGCAAGACATCCGGCAGAGGAAGGTCTATGTTTGTGTTATTTCTTCGGCGCACTTTGGCTTGTTCGCTTGTTTGAGGAAGATGAACTGCGAAAACAATGAAACCAATAGCCGTACTTTAGTTATTTGTAAGGTTCTTCACTCATAGCGACCCTTACAGACAGAGGAGAACTCTTCAAAAGGGTTTCTGAGACTACGAATCTTTAGGGACTAGAGCAGACAGCCTTATCTTTCTCCTGTGGAGGAGTGCCTTGAACCACTGACCTTGTCGTTAACAGGCCAATACTTAACTCACTGCAGCACCAGGACCCAGAGAACAGAAATCAAGGATTGAAGACAATTGTTAAAATGGCAGACCTGAGACAAGCGTATTATCCTGAGATTGTCGATTCCAAATTGTTTCCACTACATGTACCACCAGCTTGTTGTTGGCTCTCAGTTTTCAATTGGTTAGAGCATGATATTGACTTGTTTATTCCAAGAGCCCTATTCAATGTTCTCTATGGGCCTGTTTTGTGTCTTAGAAAGCAAGTCACCATTGTGTTTGGCAAATGAGAAAAGTACAGGAGTTAGAATGCCTCTTATGGCAGGTGATCAATGAAGGCTCTATCGATGCAGAGGGTGAGAGTTGCACTTTGTCCAGGGTTACCTTTATTTCTTTTCCTAGGCTTCTTCGGTTTGACTTCTGGTGGTACCAGAACACTCTGTTCACTTGGTTGCTCCCCGTTGGGTTCCTCTTTAACTGGAACCAGTGTGATGACAAAACTCTCCTCGTCCAATTCGCTTTCAAAGTAGTTCTGGAAAGAGATGGGTCAGACACTGGTTGTCACGTGATGCCACACCACTTAACTGCTTACTTACAAGTCACAACTATTGAACACCAAACCCCAAACCCAACTCAAAGATGTCGAGTCAATTCCTACTCATAGAATAACGGATGGGCTTGAACTGCTAAACTTTCCATTCCCAGTCGAGAACATTAACCACAGGGCTCATCCAACTGGTGAACGGGAAACTATAGGTGGACTTAGGAACCCACTGCCATTGAGCCAATTCGGATTCTAAGGATCCCGTTCACTATTTCACTCATTGCCACCATGTTGATTCCAACTCAGAGTGCCCCTATAACTTAAGAGTAGAACTATTCCTTTGGGTTTCTTAGACTTTAAAATCTTCATGGAAGTAGACAGCCTCACCTTTCTCCCTCTAGGCAGCTGGTAGGTTTGAACCAATAACCTTATCCATAAACCACTAAACTACCAGAGTTCCTTAGGATTCAAGAGGGCACAGGGCCTTTGAGGTTGTAAATCTTTATGGAGGTAGACTGCCTCATCTTCCTCCTGTGGAGCAGTTAAGAGTTTGAATTGCAAGCCAAGCATTCATTCTAACCACTGCACCTCCCTCTCCTTTTAAAAAAGACAATGGAGGACAACCCTGTTGCTTACCTTTGAAATTTCCCCCCCCTCCTGCCTTCCTCCCCATCAGCTGAAATATGAAGGAAGTTGACTTCTCTCTTAATTTTGTTAGACCCTGTCTTCTTTCCCATCTTCTATCACAGCATAGAAGATGCCATCATCCAGGGAGGATGTAATATTCACCCAACTCAACGACATCAAATTGATGCCGGCTCAATGATTCTATGGGCCAGCGCAGAACTGCCCCTGTGGATTTCCCAGGCTGTAACTCTACGAGTAGAAAGCCTGCCTGTCTTTCTCCCGTGAAGCTGATGGTAGTTTGGACTGCCGACCTAGCTGGTAAACAGCCCAACAACCATTACACCACCAGAACATTCACTGGAAAATGCATTATTTTGTTATTCCCGAATCCTTTCTGATTGTTCTTTCTGCACTACCCGCTGATCACGCCAATGCTTTAAATCCTTTAAAGGCTTGTCAAGCTCTCAGGTTAAAGACAAAATTCCCTTGTGTAGTTTACAGATTCAGCCACCGTCTGGCCCTGGTCTTCCTCTCCGGCTTATGACTCAACACCTTTCCAGAGCTCCAGCCACACTGGCCATTTCTGCCCCGTGACCTGAGAGAAGGGAGTGCATCTGTTTTACCCTGGGCAGCACCCAGGAGAGCTGGGGGAATAGTAATTACACATTGGACTCCTAACCGAAAGGTCAGCAGTTCGAAACCACAGGCACTCCTGGGGAGAATGATGAGGCTTTCTACTCCCGTAAAGAGTTCCCGTCTCGGAAAGCTGGAGGGAAAGTTCTATCCTGACCTAGAGGGTCCCTATTAGTCAGAATCAACTCGAGGGCAGCGAGTCTGGGCGTTTTATCGCACCCACAGAAACACAACACCCAGCACAAGCTGGGCACACAGTATTGTTTCAATGGTGTAATGAAGTGGAAATGCAGGAACAATACCTTTTTGCAAGATAGAAGAGGTCCCTGTCTATAGCAGCAGCTCCGTGGGAGAAAGGCTGGGCTTTCTACTCCTGTAAACCTAGCCTTCGAAATCCATAGGGGGCTGCTGAGTCAGCATTGAGTCCAAGGGGGGGTTCCCCCCTCCTCCGCCCACCCCCCACCATCTTAAATGTTGGTGATTCAAACTCAGCCTCACCACATAACCAAGGCCTGAAGACTTGTCAAGAAATGGCTGGGCCCCAGTTCCAGCGTGTAACACGCAGAATCGCCAAGACTCAATCTACTTGACAGGAGTTTTACTTGCTCTCTGCGTGCTTTCTTGTTTAATCCTCCAATATACTTGTGGAGGTGTGCATGCTTTCCCACTTCACTTATAAGGAAATTGGGTCCCAGAAATTAAAACGACCCACCCTAGAGGGTAAGCACGTGATACTTCAAATTTCCGAACTTAACTTTCGCTCTCAAACTCAACGGTGAATAAACTCCCAACCAGCATTCCAGCCCTATTGTAATACTCTCCTGGAAGAATAGCTAAATTGATCTCATGCCGACGCGCCCCTCCCCCGGCCCATTTAAATCTCTTCACCAGCTCCCCACAGCTCTCAAACTCTCAACCTGGGTACAGTGGTTTTGCATTTGTATAGCACTTTTCAGAGCACTCACAGACATTTCACTCTTATAAGCCTTAAAACAAAAAACTAAGAAAAGTAACAAAAACCCTATGACATTGGGTAAAAATCACTCTAGAGACAAATCAGGCTCCAGGCACTTTAACTGGTCTGTAGCATACACTTAATATTGGCCAATTCCACCCTGGAGCTGCCTTCTCCCATGAAGTTTCCCCGTCCAGACCACAACGACCCACACGCGGTGGCCAAGCTCACCCGGGGGGCACCAAACCCACTGGCAAAAGGTTACTTCTTACCCCTGACGATATCAACCAAGTCAGTCCCATCTCTTGTATCTTAGCTCTTCGTAGCCTAGTCGCTTTGAGCTCTCGCCCCTGTCTTTGCTATGCCATCTTAGGGCTAGATCTTTCCCCTTACCCTCGCTAACATAAATGTACCCCGAGCCACAGCCATGTGAAGGAGAAGCAGCCATGCCCGTAGAGAGCCGAGGAGGTCCCCTGGAAGAAGCTGGAAGTCTCATTCAACGAGGAGTGGAGAGGAAAATGGGAGTCCTGACCCGGTGGAAACACAGTGAGAGCCAGAACGAGATCGAAGAGAGGACCCCGGGGAGGGCGAATCCTGGCTTGCGCTCACCTTCTCCATGTCGACGTAAGCAGAGGTCTCCACTTCCACGGACGCGCAGGACAGGGCCGTGTCGGCCATGCTGGGGGCGTCTGGGTCTCCCCCGCTTCACCTGACGGGCTCCTTGTTGTTTTCTCCTTTTATAAGCAAATGTGTCCTTTGACTTCCTGCTACCCAGATAAGCTCTGGTTTCCTCCCTCCTAGCTCCCAAAAGAAACAAAGTCCCCTGCTCGGGAAGGATTCCAACTCGTGGCGACCCTACAGGACAGCGTCGAACTGCCCCAAAGGGCTTTCAAAGCGGCAGTCCTTACGGAAGCCGACTGCCCAGGTTTTTCCGGCCGAGCGGGTAGTGGGTTGGACCTTTAAGTTCGTAGCGGCCCACCGGGGTTTCTTGAACCTCCCTCCACTCCTTCTTTATCTGACCGTGGTGATTTTTATCAATGCCATCCTTTTGTCTTTCCTATTAGTTGATAATTGAGGGATTGGGCAATTTGTGTCATTCCCGACATAACAAACCAGGACTTTGTTCTCCTTTTACGACTGGGGCTAAACTCAAGGTGACAAAGGTTAGCTGCCAAGTTTCAAGGGAATGAATGGAATAGGTTCGAAGAGTCTACTGTATATCAATATTGGTCATTGGTTAAGTAATGCAGTTTTGAAAGGAGTAGGAGGAATAAAAGATTCAGAGAATTTTAGGGAGAAATTTGTGTAACTGATTTCTGTAAGGATCAAGTATGGTTATCTCTCCTGCAGTTAGTTCCAAACATAAATAGTAGATCTGTAAAGGAACTGGGAGGCTTTCTACTCCCATAAAGGGGCTCGAACCCAGAAGAACAGTTCTACCTTGACCTATAAGTTACCTGGACCTATAGGATCGCTGAGTCAGATTTGGCTCTGTAACAGTGAGTTTGGTTTTTCACATTCGGAAAAGAGCCCTGAAGTAGCCCCACTGGCATATTGGGATACTTGTAGGGCAAACTGCAAGGTCAGCAGTTCAAAACTACCAGCCACTCTGGGAGAAAGATAAGGCTCTCTACTCCCGGTAAAGATTTACAGTCTCTGAAACCCTCCAGGGCAGTCCCACCCTATCTTATAAGGTTGCTATCAATCAGATTTGACTCGAAAGCGCATGAGGAATGCTTGAGAAGGAATCATAACCATTTATGAATGTTGGGGGCCAGGTCCCAGTTGGAGCCAACAGTTTATGTCCTTGCCTGCTAACCTAAAAATGTGGTAGATTGAATCCATCTAGAGCGCTGTGATCCACAAGGTCAGCAGTTAGAACCCACCAGCAGCTGTGATGGGGAATGAAGGAACTTTCTACTCCCGGGAAAAGCTATGATCTTAGCAACTCATAGGCCCAGTTCTACCCTGGAGGGTCGTTATGAGTCGGCATTAATGAGATAGACGGCAGTGAGGTGCATTTGGAGAAATGATTGGCGACTGGCTTCCATCGATTACAGCCAAGAAAATACTCCAGAGCAGGGCTACTCTGCAGCATGTGGGGTCTCCACAATGTGCAAACAATGATTACTCGCCTCATTAATGGAGGGAAATAATATTCACAAGGAAGCTTTGTATGACCTGGGGATTACCTGAGAAATGTAAATGTGAAAGCTGTGTTCCCTTTGGATAATTCTTATGAATTGTCTAGACCAGGGATCAGCTAACTTTTGAGAAGAAAAAGTCAGCGTCAACCCCATCCCTCACAGCAATTTAAAAATTATTCGAGAGCTATAAATACATTTTTACCAACAAATGAAATCACCATGTATCTGAATAATAGCCTTTAAAGGTTTTCAACTTTCCTTTGGAGCCACTTGGCCGTCCTTAGAGAGAGCTGCTCATGGCTTGCAAGGTGCAGTTTGCAGCCGTGTGTTCTAGAAGCACAGGCCTAATCAGGGTTTGACCAAAGGGCTTTGGAGTTTGACAGACTGTTGTTGAAGTTGTGGCTGTTCTCTTCTGGGATGGAAACGCCACACACACACTTGTGTGACCTCGAGTAGGGCTCTTTCTGGGCACTTTGGAGGGGAGATCTCTGGTGGCCTGAGATGGTTACAGTGCCTTAGGTTGGGATACGCTACAAGTGGGGGCTAGTTCATTGTCATATTATTTTTCCTTCCAAGTTTTAATCTAATGAGATCATCTTGCTTATTTTCAGGTTTTCCCTCTTTCTTTCTGAAAATCGAGAAGTCCAAACAAAATTAAACAATGATCTCATGAGCCTTCGTGTATTGTTCATGCAGCTTCAATCACTCTCACACACAGTCAATCTCATGTTTTGTTTTGTTTTTAATTTCTTTTTTTTCAATCTCATTTCACCTAAACCTTCTCCCATCGCCCACCTCCTGGATTATTTAGAAGTGAATACCATTTCATTTGGAACTTCGGGCTTTAGTTAATAGTACAGTAGCGAACATTGCCGTATGAGTTTCTGTATGTAGTGCTGCTTTCCCTTCCTCTGGGTATAGAGCAAAGACTGCGAGGGTGCGGCCCTGGTCATGCTGTTGGGTCAACATTGGACCTGCTAGCAGCAAGGTCAATAGATCAAACTCACTAGCCACTGGGAAAATGATGAGGCTAACTGTTGTCAGACTGAACGGGTCCTGGAGAGCCTATCAGCGTAGCCAAAAACAGAGAGAGACCAGGTTGGTTCAAGAAAATCTAAGTTTATTCTTGCAAGTGCTTGTAGAAGAAAAACAGCCAGGTGTCTCCTTTGAGCTGTTTCAGAGTTCAGTCCTGAGCCCGAAAGTTAATCTACAAGAAACTGTTTGTTTGTTTGTTTTTTACAATGACTGAAGGAGAATAGCAGGTTTTTTACAATGTCGCAAGATGCAATGGATACTTTAAGAAGGCAGTTTCTACAATGAGCATTAGGGCATTTTCTATAACTACATTTCTCCAGGGGCCATTAGATCTTAGATCACCATCGCCTGAAGCTTCATGCACCCTTGTTTATCCAAATTGGGGTGATGTTTCCTGTCTGGCTACTGTTCTTAGCCACCTCCCCAAATTGAAACATCCTGCTGATTACGCTTAAGTGGAATTTTTGCTGTAAGGGATTTTTAACATTCTAAATCATAAATTACGCTAGACTTCTAGTATTGATTTTCCCTTTATCATCAGCCACAGAAGAAAAAAAAAAACTTCGTACAAATGCGCTTTACACAATTGATGTGTGTATGGATTGGGATAACAGTTGTATGAGCCCCTGATAAAATGTTAGAAAAACAAAACTTCAGAAGTCCTATGTACAATCACTTTGAATTTAAAGGGATTTGATGGCAGTGGCTGTTTCTTGTTGTATGGTTGTTCCATGTTTAACTTTTTGAGGAAGAGCCAAACGTTTTTTCTCAGAGATCATACCATTTTGCATTACCACCTTGCGGACACCGAGTTTTTTCCACGCGTTTGATCCTAGCCACTCTCGCTCACCTCCACTTGAAGTGACGTAGTATTTCAATGTTCACAAATGAAGACACTGTAGAAGAAAGACTGCAGCCGTGCAAAGCTAATAGAGCAGCTCTCCTCTATCCTACAGGGTGGCTGTGAGTCAGAGTCGACTCCAGGAGACAAGAGGTTTGTTGTTTTGTGTTAGAGCTTAAATGCTACCCACCTGGTTTGTAGAAGGCGATGCATAACAGTGACAGCCCCAAATCCATTTCGCAGAGTCTGCACAGAGATCAAGCCTCCATTGAATTCCTTCTGATCATTAACCAAGGATGTAGATAATCTTGGCCTCAGGTTGAGTGCATTTGAAGAGTAGATTACCTCCACCCCAGGGAGGGGCTGTCTCTCTTAGGGGCTTGCCTGGCAGTGTCCTCGACGGAGATGATCAATACATCATGGTTCAAGGTGGGACCACAGAAGCAGGAACAAGACCACAATTGGGACACATACAGTGTTAGATAGATGGGTTTACAAGATTACAAGATAAGTCCAGGGCACAGATCAGGGCTAAGCAGTGCCTTGGACTGTCCTCAGCATGGTGGTCACCTTCAAGGACACTGCCAATGTCACTCATGTTGCCTTGACCTCTGCCTTGATCCTTCACCTCCCCCAGTTCCCTTTTTAAGTGGGTGTCCGTTACTGGCCCCACTCACTCCCAAACTTCCATGGACTCTTTTGACTCACAGTGACCCTGTAGGACAGGCTAGAACTGCTCCAGTGAGTGTCAGGGACTGCAAATCTTTACAGGAGTAGAAAGTGCCCCCATGTCTCTCTGTGCTAGAGTTCCCGGCATAGATGTTGTCTGTTGATGAAACTTTCTCTACTCCTGGATGGTGGAGTTCTCAAGTTTATTTTCTTGGAGCCCAACACAGACGTAACTAGGTTCCACGAACAACAATACAACATTACAGCAGTTAAGTTTGTAGTTTAGTATAGGCCTACAGCTAAAAATTAGCCATTAACAGCATTCTGGACTATTAAAAAGAAGCTGAGCTATACAGTGGAGGCATAAAATGAGAGAAGATTGAATTTAGTCTGGTGTTCTAACATCTAGCCCAATAATAAGCAATAATCCTGAAACAAAAATACATGATCTCATTCAAAGATCTGCTTTATTTAAAAGCCAGTTGCCATGTCGTTGACTCTGATTTACAATCCATGTGCACCACAGTAAAACGTGGACACCTACTGTTTCAGTGTCTGATTTTATTAGAAGCAGAGAGCCAGACCTTTCTTCTAAGCCACCTCGGGTGTGGTTAGCAGCTGAGCTCTTAACCACTTGTAACACCCAGGGAAATAAAATATTTACAAATGCCCTGTGTTTTTTATTGAGATACATCCTTTTCAATAAATCTCCTCCCCACACTCTTACTTTTAAATAGAACATCATGCTGTACAAAAACAAATGTTTAGTTATCAAGGGTTCATGAGGGAGGGGGGAGTAGGAAGAGAGTGGGGAAATGAGCTGATATTAAGGGCTCCAGTAGAAAGCAAATGTTTTGAGAATGATGATGGCAACAAGTGTACAAATGTGCTTGACACAATGGATGTTTGCATGGATTGTGATAAGAATTGTATGAGCCCCCAATAAAATGATTAAAAATAATAAAATAAATGTTTAGGAAGTATCAATACATAATAAGTAAAAGTAAAGCAACTCTGGCTGAAATCAAACCCACAAGGTAGCCATAGAACTCAAGGTTTGGACAAACCGTTTAAAATCCACAGTTCAATATCACTGCGTAATTTAGAAGAGATTCAGTCCCCTTAGAGAAAAATGGAATTCTTAAAAGAGCTTCCTGTCACATCCTTCTGTTCAAGACATGTCCACATCAAAGATCTATTGAATTAATTTGTACTTCAGAGCAATAGTTAGAGATCATTCACATTTCACCTAGACTAAACTCAAAATTCACTGCCAGCAAGGCGATTCTGGTTCACAGTAACCCTGTGAAACAAGGTAGAACTGCCCTACTGAGTTTCTGATACTGTAACTCTTGGCTGAATAGAAAGCCTAATCTTACAGGGCGTGGGCAGTGGGGGGCGGTGGTGGAGTGGGTAGTGGTTTCAAACAATTAACTTTGCAGTTAGCAGCCCAATGAGTAACCCAGTACGCCACTACACACACACACACACACACACACACACACACACACACACACACACTTCATTTGCAGAAGTGTCTTCTGTACCATGGAGCAATATACACTATTGGGGAGCACCTCAAATTCAGAATGTGATGAGGGTTGTACTCCTTAGGTGTGTGTCTCACAGAGAATGTGGGGTGATGGGGGCTGAGGGAATACAACTTTTGATCACTAGACAGGAAGCTGATTTGTAACTAATTGCACATTTATGCATAGCTTGCCCATTAGGAAATTTCCTTGATTATTTAAACCAAGTCTTGGTCTTCTCTTGTCCTCTGCTTTGCATTGGAAATTTTTCATCATGAGGTTGAGGGGGGAAGGGGAACCTAATAATGAGTACAAGAAAGAAGAAAATGTTTTTGTTTTGTTTTTAAATGGTGGTGATGATTGCACAGCTCTTAAAAACATGTTTAAACGATTGAATTGTATGAGATGCGAACCATACGACCTTTAAACCATTTTAAAATCCTGTTCCTATGAAACAAATTCAATATGTGTGAAACATGTGAGATTAGGAAGATGGTTTCATTTTGTCACTTTAAGGTGGCCAACATCGGATTGTTAAAACCCTCCGACTCCTTAGCAATTGTCCCACGACCAGAGTGTAGTGGTGACACTACGGGGCTGGGGAGATGAGAATTGGAACCATAACCCTCACACTGTCAGAGGGAGTGAGCCTAAAATGAGCCGGTGGGGGGCCTGTGGGGGTGACAGGCAGACCAGCGAAGCTGAGATCCCGCAAGTCGAGTGTCACTCGGAGAGCTGTCTGTCATCCATCACTCAGTCGGCATACCTCCCCCATCCTCCACCAATCGGGATGCACGGTGCCTTCCACTGGCGAAGAGAGGAGGGTCTTCGCCTTGGCCAATTGGATAGTGGTGGAGCTCGAGAAGGAGAAACCAGGGGAACCGCAGCGCTGCGTTGGAAGGCGCTCAACCGTGTGCCACGGGCGACGTGGACGACAGCTCGCCGTGTCCAAGAGCGCTTGATGCCATGCGCTACCCCGCGGGGTGGCATCAACCCTAGCGAGAGGGATCAGCTACGTGCTCTGTTTTGAGTAATCTGCCTCTCCCTCCCCTAAATTCTAATACCGCCCCCCATTCCATAAGTGCCATTTGATACTTGCGATTTTATTTAAATATTGTGTTCTTTATGCATTTACAGTTCAAGTGTCTGAACTTACCTTCTTCCTACGCAGTTTCTTGACATTCTGCTCTCATGGTTTTCCGTCTCTCTTTCCTAGTGAACTCCTGAAAAAGTGATGGTCCCAAGGATTCTTTCCTACCCGGAACATGCCCCCATACTCTTCCGATACGTTTTGCTAATTCCGCAGACCTCATACAAATCGATGAGCTAGACCATTATGTCTAGCTCAATCGTTTTGTCAGATTTACACGTCCGTCTTTTAGCATATACTGCCACCCCCTCTATGTCCCCCCACCCCCCAAAATCCTTAATCCACTTGCTGTCTCTATAGGTTGATCAGTCCTGGTTTTCATACCCCCCAAATGATAGAAACATATACCGCAACTTCAAGAAAGAAAAAAAAAAATGGAACGCTTCCCGAATTTGCGTGTCGCCCTTGCCCAGGGTCTCTGCTAATCTTCTCTGCATGGTTCCAATTTTTTTTTTTAATTAAATCATTTTATTGGGACTCATGGTTTCAATTTTAGTCTGTGTGCTGCCGAAGTGAGCACAGCATATGCTGTTTTTATGCATTTCAAACATTTCAGAAAACAAACCAAAAAACACTCCGTGGTCTCTTTCTGCACTTCTTCTCACGCTCCCAGCCATCTCAAAGCAGAAACCTTAGGGCCGCCTTAAATCGCCCCCTCTCCTTTAACTGCACTGGCTCCAAGTCGTGGGGCACCCATCATGCGCACATTCCTACCAACTGCACCTCTCCTATTGTCCTACTGCCTAATTTCTGGTTTAAAGTAACTCTAGCCTGCTTTATGGAAATCTCTAATTGGTCATTATTGCCTCCTCTCTTCGTGATGCTGCAAAATATTTATTACATGCCATCTCGAGCTGAATTTCATATCTAGGGAGTTTAAGAGCTGTATATACCATAGACCCTCTTGTCCTTCGAAAGAAGAACTGCTGCTTTATTTTTTTTGTAAATGCTGAATTTCAGTTTTCTGAAAATGAGTTTGTTTTACTTTTCATTAAATTCTCAAAGGAACTTGTGTCTAAGGAAACATCAAGAAACTGGTTTGGCGGTGGGGAGGGGAGCTCCCCGGGTAGTTGCAGCGGCCGCACATAGCTGGCCTTGGTGTCTGCAGGTCCCTATACTTCCTTTGTGGGCGAGCAGAACCACCGGCCAGAAATCTCCCACGTCTATTCTCAAGATTCACGCCAGAGAGAGAGAAATAGAGAGAGAGAGAGAGAGAGAGATCTTCGACTCCCGTGGGAATCCACTGTTGAGGTTGATCTTTAAACGGCCAGAGGTCTCTGCAGAGCTGCCATGCCCAGTGGTGCTTCAACTGGTGTCTACGAGGCCCTGGAGCACCCGGGCAAGGATAAGACCCAGGATGGGGGTGGAGGTGGGGGCAGGTGTCTCGGACACTGTTGCACACATCAATAAAACAATTGCGCCTGCCCTGGTTAGTAAGAAACGTCACAAAGTTTCACGTTGTGAAACGGGAGACGATCGACATGTTGATGATCGAGATGGTTGGAACAGAATAAATAAAAATTTGGTGTAAATGACGTGCTGGGAGTATCCCGCACTGTGTGCTAGGGTGGAGTTGCTCAGCAGGGCGACCTCCTGCACTGTCAGAGTGTTGACTTGGCTGTTCCCAAGTCATCCTGCCAGTTCTTGCTTTCAGTATGATCAATGGCGGGTCTCAGGCCGGCATCAAGCAGGCCATGCAGGAGTCCATGATCCTGCCAGTCGGAGCAGTGAACTTGAAAGAAGCCATGTGCATTGGACCGAGTTGTACCACAACGTCAGGAACATCAAGTATAGCAAGAAAGCCACCAATGTGGAGGATAAAGGTGGATTTGCCCCCAACATCCTGGAGAACAAAGAAACCCTGGAGCTGTTTCAGAAACCATATTGTTGAGAGTGAGGCGGGTTGGAGCAGAGACCCAAAACCCATCTGTAGACAGTGGGACATCCCCTCATAGAAGGGTCACAAGGAAGGGATGAGTCAACTAGGGTACAGTAAAGCACCGATGAAACACACACTATTCCTCTATAGAATAATGAGGAAGCCTTGAGGGTTCCTCACCCCCCACTAACATGACACCAGTCCTGCCTTTCACTGCGGGCTAGACTGGAGCATGTGCACAGGTACAGATAAGAGATATGAGCTCCCAACACAGAGAATCCAGGAACAGGAATGGGAGTAGCAACACCAGAAGGGCAGGGGAAAGGTGGGGAGAGGAGGGAAGGTAGGGGGAACCAATCTCAATGATCTGCACATAACCACACACACACCCTTCCTGCAAGGGGATGAACAAGGGAAACTGTGGTGGCCAGGAAGACATTGGTTGGTGTAACATATGAAAATAATTTATCATTTATCAAGGGGTCACAATGGTGGGGGGGAGGGTGAGAGAGGGGAAGAAGAGTGGGCTCCATAGAAAATCAATGTCTAGAAAATAACAGTGGCAACACATGTACAAATTTGCTTGATACAATTGATGTATGGATTGTTACAAGACCTGTAAGAGCCCCCAATAAAATGATCTTTTAATAAAAAAAAAATGCTGTTGGTAAAGTCGATGATACTGACAGGGTGGTGATATCATGGACATAGAGGCGTCAGAGTTCTTCTGTCTTGGAAGCACCTAGGCTTCAAGTCTCCTGATGACCCCTACAGGTACATCTCACTTGACCAGCTGGCAGACCTATCTAAACCCTTCATCAAGGACTGTCCGGTGGTGTCTATTGAAGACCCCTGCCATCAGGATGACTGGGACACTTGGACGAAGTTCACTGCCAGTCCAGGGATCCAGGTGACAGAGGACGATGGCACAGTGACCAACCCAAAGCGAATCACCAAGGCCGTGCGTGGGAAGTCATGCAACTGTGTCTCGCTAAAAGGGAAGCAGATTGACTCCATGACCAATCTCTGCAGGAGTGCAAGCTGACCTGGCCCAATGGGTGGACTTGATGGTGTCACATCATTCTGGGGAGAATGGGGATACTTTAATTGCTGGTGGGATTCTGCACTGGACAGGTCAAGACCAGTGCGCTGTGCCAATCTGAGCGCCTGGCCAAGTCCAACCAGATCCTAAGAATTGAAGAGGAGCTGGGCAGCAAGGCTGAATTAGTTAGTTTATTGTGCCAACCTGGCTGATAAACCATGTGGGGTTAATTGAAGGGCAAAGGGATAAATGGCTTAGTGAGCCTCGCCTTTCTAGTTCTCCATCTCTTGCTTCCTGATGGTCGGACCAGAGTGCAGCTGCCTTAGCCAGTTCCCTGCTTTAGCTTGCAAGGATCACTTCCTGCAAGACATCCCTGAGGAGAAGCCACATAGACCTACCCCGATGCAGCCCTGGGTGCTGGAGCAGCCGTGTGGAGACCCTTGCCAGTGCTGAGATGTTTACACGTTCACTGACTCAGCTTTCTTCCTGCAGTCGGCATCATTGCGTCTGTTTTGTGAGATGGAGGAGGACTTTGTGGACTGGTGTTGGACATATGGGTTAATGTTGGACTTGTGGGCTTGGACAGCATTGGGTTGGGATGTTTTCTTGAGCACACTTAACCTTTATATAAAACTCTCTCTTATACATGAGTTGCTGTGGATTTGTTTCTCTAAAGTATCCAGACTAATGCAAAGGCCAAGTTTGGTGGCCAGAAGTTCAGAAACCCTTCCCCATGTAACCTATGCAGCGTGCCCCTTCACCCCTGCAGTCATCCAATGAGAGACCTGTTTCCAATGTGATGACCACTGCCCCAGGCCTCCTGAAGAGCCTCTGGTAGTTCCCTTTACCGAGCCTGTCCACCCAGCAGCCAAGTCTGGCCACCTGGAGCCCTGCTGGAAACCCCAGCTTTGTGACCTTGTGAGTGGTCCAATTCCTTGTCCTCTCATGAACTTCCCACCAAGTGTCCCAGTGTGATCCCAAGGTGTCAACAGGCAACATCCCTAGCATTTTTGTGTGTGTGTGCAAAAATAATGAAGCATCAGTGACCCCTTTAAAAAAAAAAAAGGAAAGAAAGGAAAAATGGTTTACAGAATGGTAACAGATCCTTAATGTGATATGCAAAAATCCATTGTTCACTGGGGGCAGTTTTTAACCAGCTCTAGGGAGAATTGATTAAATAATCAGGAATTTTACAAGCCTGTTAAATTGTTGGTAGCGTAAAATTGGCCATCATGAGAATATTTATTTCGTGAAAGTCGGCAAAGGCTATATAGATCAAAATTTAATCAATTTATCAGCTGACTTCCATTACCCAATTCCAAATTCCTTTGTTTTTGCTCTCCTTATAAGGAGCCCCGAAGGCTTAATGGATTTTGAGTGGGGCTGCAAACTGCAAGGTCAGCTGTTCAAATTCACCAGTGACTCTGTGAGAGAGAGAAGAGGATTTTTGCTTATATAAAGATTTACATCTTCAGCAACCCACAGAAGTTCTCCCCTGTCCTAAAGAGCTATTATAGGTTGCTATTGACTTGATGGCAGTGAGTTGAGTTGTTGAGTTGAAAGACTAGCCAACACATGTGCCTTGAAAGAACTATAGCTGGGGAGCTCCTTTGAAGTGAGGATGGCAAGATTTCATCTCATGACTCTGGACATGTTCTTAAGGAGGGACCAGTCTCTGGATAAAGACATCGTACCTGGTAGAGGATCAGTGAAAAAAACAATCCACAGCGAGACAGATTGACACAGTAGCTGCTACAATGGACTCAAAAAGGGACAATGAGGCCGATGGTCAGTATTCTGTTTTGCTGTACACAGGATCATATGAATCAGAAACAATTCTTCTTTTTAAAAAAATCATTTTATTGGGGGCTTGTACAACTCTTATCACAATTCATCCATCCATCCATCCATTGTGTCAAGCACATTTGTACATTTGTTCACCATTTTCAAAACATTTGCTTTCTACTTGAGCCTTGGTATCAGCTCCTCGTCGCCCCCTCTCCCTCACCCTTGATAATTTCTAAATTATTATTATTTTTTACCCACTTTTTTGTTGTCCATCCCCTAGGGAAGGGGTTCTATGTAGATCATGGTGATCAGTTTCTCCTTTCTCCCCCCACCTTCCCCTTCCCCTCCTGGTATTGCTACTCTCATTTATTGGTCTGAATCTGAAACAATTCTATGGCACCTAACAACAACAACAATTTCATCATGGATTGAAGAAAATCGCTTTGAAAAGAGTGGTCCATAGACGTATAGTGGAATATGTATTTTATAATTTGCATGTAGTATTTGTACCAATGGCTGTGTTTAGGTGCCATCAAATCAGCACCGACCTATAGCGAACCAATGCACAACAGAACGAAGCACTGCACAGCCCTGCACACGTCTCACGGTTGTTCCTATGCCGGAGCCCACTGACGCAGCCATGTGCCAGTCCACCACATTGAGGGCGTTCCTTGTTTTCACTTCCGCTTCACGTCACCGAACATGCTGTCCTTCTCCAGGGCCTGGCCCCTCCTGACAATATCCAAGTATGTCCGATGGAATGC